CACCTTACTTAAAAAAAAAGTATTTGGAATTAGTTATGCTAATAGTCTTGATTTTTTTATTTTATTAAGAAACCCCTTTAAGAAAGTAGAATATGCGATTAGCACCTTATGGTTTTGTCAATTTGTAGTACTTTTTTTAGGCATTAATAATGGGTGAATTAGTGCATGTAAAGTGAAGTTACTTTTTATTATTTTTAAATTCTTAAAAATTTTAAACTAAATTCTAGAATTTTGGGTCAAACATGTTTAATTTCCGATTTTCAACTTTAGAAAAAATTTCATAATCAAACGCCCGTTAATTTCGTTTCTTTTGTTTTATGCAATTATGGTCGTTGCTTTCATGCTTCTATTCCTAGTTATGCATTATCGACAGGCTAAAGATATATGATAGGAATCAAAAAAGAAAAAAAGAAAAAAAAAACAGAAAACGCCAAAACAATATCCCAAAAATTTAGGTAAACAACTAGCATAGTTTAATGTGTGCATTTTTCTGATTAGACTTTTGTGTGCTTGTACTGTGCAAAAAAACATATAGGCTAATCGCGGCGTATCCAAAATTTTGAGTTTATAAAAAAAAAAATTTACCTATTGAATTCTGAATAAATTCAGGAATATTAGGTCAAAATTATTTCCGTAATTTTAATTATATCTTTGCGACTAAAGGCAGATCTAGAAGGTAGCTCCTTTTCACGATTATTAATTTATAATTTAATGACTGGAAAAAATAAAATCACATATTTATAAATATTTTTGAATCTTGATTCCGTCTCTGCACGCGATAAATATGAATCATGGTCAAGCACTACAATAAAGTTTCCTTTTTATCCTAAGGATCGATTAGCTACGTTTCATGACTAGTGATTGAACATTTATATTTTATATATACTAAAATCCCCACGTCTGTAATTCATGTAACAAGCATGCTGATCCTATAATATTGTTCAAGATTTTAATAATTGGTCATCATGATATTTATGATTTTATTTTTATTTTTTGAAATTACATATATACAGAGTGTTAAATGGACGGATTGACCGATAAGTTAAAATAGATTGAGTTAATATATAAGTGGGTTAAAATTATTTGGATTGAAATGTGTTGTACTGAAATGGGCTAAAAATGAGTCATAAACCAATCCCTCCGATTTTTACTAAATTTTAATTTCTTTGTTTGAATTTTTATGATTCTTTGGTACATAAAATATATATTTATTCTTTATTGTGGTTATAATTTATATATAATATTTCAAATAAAATAAAATGTCTTTTTGAAAATATTTCGATAAGATTTCTCGAGTTAATTTGGGCTATATACCATTTCAATTTTTGATGGACTGAAATGAATTGGAGTAAAATGGACTGAGTTTCGACATCTATTAATCTTACTAATTTCACACTGCATAAGATCCATTAAAGGGGGTCGTAATTTTTCTCTTTTTCAAGGCTCGAATTGAAACATCCGAAGGGATCATATCCATCCAACCACACCCATTTATGATTATTTTATGCTATCACTAAACAAAGTGTTCAGTCCCCACATTTGATCTTGAACAATTCTCACTCATGAAAATTAACTTTTTAGATTGAGTTAGACCCGACATACATTTTTTTAATGATGATCAGAGTCTGATCAATCTCAATTTTTCGTTTACTTTATGTCGAGCCAACTCTATATTATATAATCTATGCTCCAGTTGGCAGGTCTAAACATTCAGAAAGATATAAATAAGCTTCCGAATTTGGTCATTTAAGGTAAAAGAATAAAATCTTTTTATATGATCTTCGACAATTTTATGGATTGGCATAAAGAAATAAATATATAGATTAGGTTCTATCATGGAGGGCAAAATTCTGTTATGTGAAAGTAACCATACATAATGATGGAGGAATTTCTATCTTATATTATCTGAAATCATATTCTTCAATGACTTTAAGCTTTATCTATTATAGTGCTGACCCTAGAAATGATCATGTACAATAAGTGGTGCAATATGATTTTTCAAGAATTGCAAAAATCTAACACAAAAGGAAAGTATAGGTGTCGAAATATTCTGATAAGATGAAATCCACGTCAAGTCTCATTACAAAATTATGAAACCTCATATAAGACATCGAATTACCAAAAGAGAAGGATTACCAAAAATTAAAAGTAAAAATGGACCAATTAAGATAATGGATTATATTAGAGAGGACTATTGTTATCAAAATAATAGCTGACAAATATATATTTTTTATGACAAATGTGCTAAAAGGGCATGTTACATTAAAAATAATGTCCCTTTTGAAAATTTTAAATTTCTTTTTTTAATTGTCCTGAAACAGAAAAAAAAACAATTATTTTATTTGCATAAAATATTGCTCTGCTGGTAATGACTCACTAGGGCATTTTAAAAATGATTTTCATATATTTAAGGCATATTAATAAAAGTATTGACAATTTGTTATATTAGGAGGATAGATAGTTAGAAACTAAACACCTATTTGCATGGGCAAATCCACATCCCCAAACCTCAAACTATATTTTGTTCTTATCCTCTAGTATAATCTATTATCCAAACATTTGTGAAGTTGATAATAATAAACATAATAAATAAAAATAGAATTATTATAACAAGAAAATGGGAGGTGAAAATAATATCTAGTTAGAGATTTTTAAGGAATGACTTTAATTACCAACACTTATAAATACTTGTACTTTTTACTTTTTACCTAACTATCCCATCAAATAACTTCCCTCCTTTTCTTTAGATTAACCAAAAAAAAAAAAAAAAAAATTATCGTATTTGCTATCTTTATTATCCTATCCTATCCTATCCCTCTTTGCTTTGCTTTAATTACTTTCAATTATTCCCAAATTTGAGATTTGTGTTCTTTGTTGTAGTTCTATTTGTAACAATATTCTGAGTGAAAAGGTCCAGTTGACAATCTGAGCACAGGCCTCCCAAATCATTCCGTCTTTTCTCTATTCCTTTTTTTTTAATCACTAAAAATGACTATCCAACTAGAGGGAAAAAAAATCCAAGACCAAGACCAATTCATAGTGCCTCAAACAAATGCATTTGGACATAATTTTAGGGACTACAACAATGCACAAAGTGAAAGGCAAAAAGGGGTAGAAAAATTCTACAAAACACAACATATAAATCAAACATATGATTTTGTGAAGAAAATGAGAGAAGATTATACAAAATTAGACAAAGCAAAAATGAGCATATGGGAATGTTGTGAATTACTAAATGATGTTGTTGATGATAGTGATCCTGATTTAGATGAACCACAAATTCAACATTTATTACAAAGTGCTGAGGCAATTAGAAAAGATTATCCTAATGAAGATTGGTTACATTTAACAGCCTTAATTCATGACTTAGGTAAAATATTAGTTTTACCTAAGTTTGGTGGTTTACCTCAATGGGCTGTTGTTGGTGACACATTCCCTTTAGGATGTTCATTTGATGAATCAAATATTCACCATAAATATTTTAAAGAAAATCAAGATTTTAACAACTCAATTTACAACACAAAAAATGGAATATATTATGATTTTATTGGACTAGAAAATGTCATGATGTCATGGGGTCATGATGATTATATGTATATGGTTGCTAAAGAAAATGGTACAACATTACCATCAGCTGGACTTTTTATTATAAGGTATCATTCATTTTATCCATTGCATAAATATGGAGCTTATAAACATTTGATGAATGATGAAGATGAAGAAAATTTGAAGTGGCTTCATGTTTTTAATAAATATGATTTGTATAGTAAAAGCAAAGTTCATGTTAATGTGGAAGAGGTAAAACCTTATTATATGTCTTTAATTGAGAAATATTTTCCAGCAAAGCTAAGGTGGTGAAAAGGAGGTGATATATGAAGTTATGAACAAATTATATTGTAAATATAATTTGTGAGATGTGGATTAAGTTGTATAATAGATAGTTTGTAATATTGAAGTAATAATAATAATAATTAAGGAGTGTTTAATAGTCTCTTATGGGAATGGAATGGGAAAATTACTATATAAATAATACCCATTCTTTTCCTAAGAGATTGAATATGTTTTATAATATGTACATAATACATGATATTAATAAAATGATATATAATTTATTTATTATATAATATGTATGACTCATCCCTTGTTATTTATCTTTCATATTTTTAAGATATTATTTTGGCTTAATACTTTTGCATGATAATTTTATTTAGATATTTGAACTACAGTTTATTTCAATTGATCAACAATTGAAACATAATAAAATGTTCTTGTTTAGACACTTCCATTTTATCTTTTTTTTTTTAAAAAAAAAAACAATGTGTTTTCTCAAGTGTCTATATCGGGTAGTTGAGTTAACACAAGATATGTCATCTCTTTAATTTCATGTTACACATTAGCCTTAATTAGAGAACGCTTAGGGTTTTATGACTTATTGAGGCGAATACGTATAATTAAATAAAGTGATATATTTTAAATGATCAACTTATCTACATACTGAGCAATATTTGAAAACACACAAAAAAAAACCAAAATTTGACAGCAAAAATATATAAAGAAAAATATTTTATTATGTGTTCAAGTGTTCAGAAGGAAAAAAAATCATTGAAGGATAAAAAACACGACCAAACTTAAACAACATGCATGCTAATAAAGGTAATTACTTCATGAGTTAATTAAAGACTTGAAAATTAAACGAGCAAGGAGGAATTAATTCTTGGGGAAAAAAAGTTCTTCATACATTAGAAACAAGTTAAACCAACAAGCCCAATGAAATTGGGAACATAATTAACCCAACCTAAGCAAACTATACTATTATATCCTTAATTATTACACAATAACTTGGGAACAAAATACTAGATAACACAATGATCTAGGAAATAATAGTAATACTAACACTTTTAATTAAAAACATCAAATTTAAATACTAGACACTTGAAACAACACAAGAACTAGGAACATGCATGCAATAACAAAATAAAATATTAACTAAACACTATAGTAAAACACTTCAAGGAATAACAACTCCCACACCTTTATAACCACCAATTCCACCACCAACACCTAGTCCACCACCACCAACACCTCCGGCACCGCCAACGCCACCGCCAATCCCTTTAAACCCGGCACCACCAAGACCGCCACCGACTCCACCAACACCACCAGCGGTACCACCAACGCCGCCTACGGCACCGCCAAGTATTGGCAAAACCCCACCTACTCCACCAATTCCGGAACAACCCCCTATGCCACCATATGTTATAAAATTTTTCTTGTCATTAAGTCCTCCAATTTTGCTTGGTGTTGGAGAATTAGTATGTAAAGTCTTAGTGTTTACATTTTGAACCTCAGGAATATTTCTTGCAGTGGCATGGACTAGTACTAGTGCAAACATGAATATTATGGACCAATTTGCCATTTTGTTTACTCCAAAAACTTATGTTTCTCTCTATTTTTTCTATCTCCTTACACACAAAAACAAACAAATAAAAATAGACTAAGGTTGGTGAATTGTGGTATGTAAGAAATTGTGAGAAGAGGTCTATTTAAAGATACATTTGAGGGACAATTGAGTAATTATGGAAAAGGCAATAAATATAGTACGTCTCCTCCCTCCTTCGATCCGATTCAAAGATTAATACTTTTTCCGTTTCAAAATAATTGAATTATTGAGACATTTTTTATATTTCAGTTTACTCAACTTAATTGTTCAATCTTCAAGACTACTTTTAGAATATTCTTCCAATTTTACCCTTCATTTGGATTTTCTATGTGATGAGTTGAAGAAACTTTAATTGCTATGAATTATTCTAAAGATTATTTTGACAATAATTAATAAGGGCAAAAATGGAAAGTAATGTTTAATTTACTTTTCTTAAAGGACGTGAAACACCTCAACAATTCAATTATTTTGAAATTGAGAGAATATACTAGTACTACAAGATGTTTTTTTCCACCGAAAAAAAAATTTGTGTTATAGAACATGATTTTTCCACTCATTTTCCGTTGAACCAACTCGCTAAAAAAACGCAAACATATTCTCACTGAAATACCTAAACTATCTATTTTTCTGTTTAAAAATAATAGTATTTTTTCTTTTCTTACCAATTCAATCAGAATATTTCTGAAATTAACAACCAAATATTTTTCAGTGAAAAATTCACTGGGAAAGTAATTTTTAGTAGTGATAGTTTTGGTAAAATGAATTTGTTTACAAGTATTTGATATATTTATAAAAATAAAAAAATGATTTATTATTTCATTTATTTCAATTTATGTAGTAAAATTTGAATTGAACAGAGTTCAAAAAATCGATACCGAAGATATGCATATATCCTCTCCTCACCGAGGTATAGTATATTCTCTCCGTCTAACAATAGTTTCACACTATACTATTTTGGAATGTTTCAACAAAACTTGTCCACTTTATGAAATCAATGGATAATTTTACACTTAGTTCATAATTTACCTAATTACCTTTATCATTAATCATAGTCATTTCCCTTTTACAATTTTCAAGACATTGTATTTATTACTCTCTCTATTCTTAATTACTTGTCCACTTTTGAATTGAGACACATATTAAGAAAACAATGATTGACATAGTAAATTTACCATTTTACCTTTATTAATTATGAAGTGGATGAATTAAAAACTTAAAATTTTAAAAAACTTTTACCTTTTTTAAAGTAATTAATTGAGGTATAATAGATAAATTTTTTTGTCTTTTCTTGATTTATCAAAATGGACAAGTAATTAGGAACAACTAAAAAAGGAAAAGTGAACAAATAATTAGGCACATAGAAAATATATTCAAAAAATGATATAGTAAAATTATCTTTTTATTTATAATTTCTTAAGAAGTGTGCAAAATCAACCGTGAACGAATATAGTTGGACAGAAAGAGTAAAAGTTGAGCATCAAATTAAAACTCAACCATATACAACATCTCGAGAGTAGCATTATAGAGTATAGTCAGAGTTAGGTGAAGGAAAAGAATAGATCATTAATGTTTTTGTAAATGTCAACTCATTAATAAATAAATAAAAATCAAATTCCATAGTATTTATTGTGTTTATAATTATTATATCACGCAATTCAAGCTGGCCATGCAACTTCATGCATACTGTTTCCTCAACACTTGTAACAATTGTAGATGAAATTAATTAGTCATGCATTTTCTCTATTTTACATTCCCGATACACAATTTCTATTAGAGATATTACTCTTTTTGGGATCAATAAAAGGAGAATATATCCAAAGTTTTATATAAATAATTATCAGTATACGAAATTTAGTGATTCGATTAATTTAAATTTATTCGCGTAAAGCCTAGGTAAGAGAAATCATTCCTTACCATAGATTTCTTTGAGGAATAAATTTTCATACAAATTAAACAATTATGAAAATTTGAGAAAAAACTTTGAGAGAAATGAATTAGTTGGACGTATACCTAGGGAACCTCAATTATATTGATGAAGTCACTATGATATATATATGTTGGGACCAATATTAATGAAACAGAAAATATTCAAGTCTTTGTTAGTCAGTACGTTGAGTTGATCTATTGAAGATAAATGCATTAAAAATAAATTTGGTGACACCTTCTGTTGTTGAGAAATAATAGGGGTTGTTCGGATGATAAGCATTATCTATTTTCAATTTTGAAGTTATACGTTCAAGTCATCAAATGAATGAAAAGATAGAATCCTGAATTTATACGTTCGAGTCATCAAGTGAACGAAAAGATAGAATCCTAAAGTTATACGTTCGAGTAATCAAATGAACGAAAAGGTAGAAACGGCGGCCTAGGAGGGACAAAAAATTTGAAATGAAGCTTTGCTAATAAGCATCAATTAAAAATCATTTAATTGCACGATTTATTCTTTAAATTGTCTGTTCATATTTTTAGCCTTGTCTAAATTGGTCTTTTCTGTCAAGCCCATCCCATTTTTAACATATTCCTTGAGAATTTAGAAGGTTAAATTTGTGTTTAGGGAAATTGTTAAATTGTGATGATAAAAAAACATGTTTCTTCAAGTTAATTAATTAGCATGATTAGTTCTTAACCATAGAATTTTTTTTCTCCATTATAGCAACAAAAACCTCAAAAAGAGACACGTGTATGCATGATTTGCTTTCACACTTACAACATACAACTACTAGCAATAACATAGGAAAGAAAACAAAAACAAGAAAAGGGAAAACTTTTAATCAAAGATTATTATTATAATTATCTTAAGAGAAATAAATTAAATAGCAAATCAAGAAGAAAAAGAAATGGCTCATTTAAAAGTAATTATAGCCAACATGTCCAATTGGATTTCTACTAGATTCATGATGGTGCCTGCAGGAAATGTATTGATCTATAGAGACTTTGTTAGTGCCACAAGACCTTCTCAAAAAGTGAGTTTTAATTTGTTTATTTCATATTAGTGTCTGACTCAGTTTATGCGCACATAGATTGATTTTCCACCAGCATAAATATAAATATCGAGTAACTCAATCGATCAAAACCTGAACACACAGTTAGAAAATATATATCATTGAGTATATTTGTATGCCTCCACTAAAATTTGAACCTGAAATGCTCATTTTTCTTCTTGAATATATTTCATTAATCATGTTTATATATATACATATATATTTGAGTTTTAATTTGTGAATTTTATCTTTTTTAATAATCATAGTGTCTGAGTCTGAGTCAGCTTATGTGCACATTGATTGAATCCTACGAACATAAATAGATATCGAGTAACTCTGTTCACTAAGGCTTGAACAGATAATTAAAAAATATAATATGGTATATTATTTGTATACCTTTACTGAAATTTGAACCTGGAACACTCATTTTTCTTCTTGAATATTACATTAATAATGTTTTTGTTTTGTATATACACATAAATATTTTCTTGTTTTTGGTTTAAATTTTGGATTTTTTTTTTAATGAAGATTGATAAAGAGACATGTCAAAAGATAATAGAAGCAGCAGAAGCAGTGAAAGAAGGAGCTAAAGAAGTGAAAAGTGTGGGAGAATATGTCAAAAAAACTGTTTCTGATAGTGCTGGAAATGTAAGCCTTTTTTCACCTATTTATATAGCTACGAAATTTATCATTAATCTCCAAATCTCGTATCTGTATCAATGAACGTCAGAACGACGAAATTTATCGTTAATCTCCAAATCTCGTATCTGTATCGATGAACGTCATAACGAAACCTGTTTTATCGCTATATAACATATATTGATATATACCTAACATGATTTTTAAAAAAAATAATTCGTTAATAATAAACTTAATTAGTGACGAATTGATTATTTATTGTTTAGCGACAAAAGTTGTTCAGGTTAATTCTTATTTTATTTTATTATTTCATTAATATTATGTTGATTAATTAGGTGATATCAGAGGTGGCAAAAGCAGCACTAGATAAGGCAACTGAAAAGGAAGAAAAAGGTGCATGGGATAAAGTCAAAGACACTGCAAATGACATCAAGAATCAAGTAGTTGGCAAGTGACTTAATTAATTAGCCTTAATTACATCGAATTTAAGTTTTATACATCGTCAATATAATAATTTATCTCAAAGTGTAATTTAATTAATTATAATAAGTTAGCGCCCGATGCTCCGATCTATTTCACATTATTATATCATACAAGGAATTACATGTTATTGTAGGTCATTAGTTGATGGTATAAAACTTCTTTATCTATTCCCGTTAATCAACCATCAAATAAAAATCATAGCTAACAGAAATTTGTGATTATCCGTTGTGAAATAGAACTAGCGAGAAATTATGTTGTTTAGTTACAAAATTTTGTCCATTGCTAATATCTTTTTTTGTAAGTAGTGATCAATTACTTCTTAAGTTTCTCTTTCATACCTAGTGAGGTACTTAGGATAAGATATGCCTCTTGGCTTGGCTTGACCTCGTTAAATTGAATTAAAGTTCAATTAAATTCAGTTCTATTTAGTATTGTAAAAAAGTTTGATAAGGCTCGACTCAAACTTTGTTTGACAATGGAATAGACTAAAGTCGAATTCAATTCAACTCGACTCAACCACAAGTGTATGTATGGGATAGTGAAGTGTTTGTTGGTCTGCTTCTATTTGTCGCGATGTAATCCAAACAGGTTGAAGTAGATCATTAATAATAGAGGCAAAAATGGATGAATGGGCTTGGGATGGATTAGAAATTGGGCTTCATAATTATCAAGACCAGGCCCATGGATTAGTTTTCCTTGTCCAAGCCCAAATAGAGGATGGATGGGCCAGGAGCCAAGCCCAAGTACTGTATTTAGTTTTTTTCTTTTCAAAAGTTAATTGTCATTAAATAAAGAAAGTAAGAAAAAATGTATTTAGACTAGCATAATTATTTTGATTTTGTTTAAGAAAAAAGCCAAATAGTTTAGATGATATCAAAACACAAACACAAGCAAAAAAAACAATTGGTACTTTGTATCCAAGCCTCAGCTATAAAAAAGAAACCCTATGTCATTTGGTTATATAAGATAAGGCATAAAATTTACAAATAATCACTTTTCAATCTTTGTAATTATAAATAGTCATTATCCTAAAATTTGAAACTCAATGATAACAATTATTTTTCAAAGACAAGACGAAAAAAAAATTCCAATAAACATAATTTCCACAAGGAATTAGGAGGTTACCCAAATATGAAATTTAAAATTGATTTATACCTATATTTGGTTATGGATATCCATGTTTAAGTGTTGAAATTAAGAACCAGGTTAAATGTATTTGCAACATCTCCTTCGTTTGTAACTAATACTCTTAAAAGAAATGCTAATGGAACTGTTTCATACAGATGAATGATCTTTAATCATTATAAGTAAAATTCTTCTATTATTAAAAAAAAAAAACCTTATTTTGAATAGAAGACATATTAATTGCACAATGGAATAAAAATGAAAGAAATAATAGGAGTGGAAACAAACAAATGAATGGACTATGTGATTATGTTGCTACCAAAAGAAGAACAAAAATTTGAAGGGTCAGAAACCTTGTACTTCATACTGTCATAGTAATAAACTAAAAAAAGAATAAAAATAAAAGATTCACCAACCTTAAATCTCATAAATATGCTAAATATCCCCCCGCCCCCCTCCCCCGGCGCCCCACTTCAATGCATGTCACAATTACCTATGGCACAAAAGCCAAGTACACTACCATCCATTACAAATTATCTATCGTGATTTTTAAAAGTTATTACTCTCTTCGTTTAATTTTACTTGTCACTATTTGACTTGACACGCTCATTAAGAAAAACAATTATTGTTATATGTATTTTACCACAATATTTTTATTAAAAAATTGTATTTTCTTGATATGTCAAAAGTGACAATTAAAAATGAAAATTTATTTTAAGAATAAGTGACAAATAAAAGTGAACGGAGGGAGTATCTTAATTATTGTGTATATTTTAAAAATTATACACAATATATAGTTTTGATTCACTTTTCGATTTGATCAATTTTAAACCAAATCATGAACATTCTTATATCCAATCTTCGATAGATTGAGTTATCTGATATTTATGTGTGCACGTAAGCTAACATAAACACCATAATTATAAATTTTTATTATTAAAGTGCATCATATCACAATAAATGTGTGCACACAAGTTGGTTTGAACACCACAATTATATATTTTTTTAATTATTAAAGTGCATCACATCACAAAAAATTGTACACACAAGGTGATTCAAACACCATAATTATATATATTTTTATTATTAAAATATATCGTATCACAACAAATATGTACACACAAGCTGATCCGAACAACATAATTATAATTTTTTATTATTAAAGTGCATCCCATCACAACAAATTAAATGTATACACACAAGCTTACCCAACCACCACAATTATAATTTTTTTTTTATTTTAAGTGTGTCACATCACGACAAATGTATGTGTAGACATAAGCTGATCCAAACACCATGATTATAATTTTCTATTATCAAAGTGCATCATATCACAATAAATATGTACGCTCAAACTGATTTGAACACCATGATTATAATTTCTTATTATCAAAATGCATCAAATCACAACAACAATAAGCATGTATACACAAATTGATTCAAACATCAAGATCATAATTTCCTAATTAATGTGCATCACATCTAAACAATTTTATGCTCACAACTACACAAGCTAACTCGAACACCACCGTTATAATTTTTTATTATTAAAATGCATCAAATCACAACAACAATAGACATGAATACACAAGCTGATTCGAACATTACGATCATAATTTTTTAATTAAAGTGCATCAGAACAAATATATGCACACAACTTCACAAGCTAATTCGAACACCACCATTATAATTTTTTATTATTAAAATGCATCAAATCACAACAACAATAAACATGTATACACAAATTGTTCCGAACATCACGATCATAGTTTTCTAATTTAAGTGCATCACATCAGAACAAATATATGCACACAACTTCACAAGCTAACTCAAGCACCATCATTATAATTTTTTATTATTAAAATGCATCAAATCACAACAACAATAAACATGTATATACAAATTAATCCGAACACCACGACTTTTATTTTTCTATTATTAAAGTGCATCACATCAAAACAAGCTAACGCCACAAAATGTCACATCACAACAAATGTCACTGCTTAGATCAATAGTTCACTGTCAGTCCCAACAACTTATTATGCCAAGTGGAAACAGCTAATCGACACACCAAAAACACTAAAACTCCATCACAAATTCTTAAAAAACCAATCTTTTTCCCCTTTTCTTGATTCTTGATCTCCCTCAAAAAATGCAAATGCAATACAAGAATTTAGGCAGATCAGGCCTAAAGGTATCCCAGCTTTCTTATGGAGCATGGGTTACCTTTGGAAATCAACTTGATGTCAAAGAAGCAAAAACCCTTTTACAATGTTGTCGTGACCATGGTGTCAATTTCTTTGACAATGCTGAGGTTTATGCTAATGGCAGAGCAGAAGAAATCATGGGTCAAGCGATTCGTGAACTTGGGTGGAAAAGATCAGACATTGTTGTGTCTACAAAGATTTTTTGGGGTGGTTCTGGTCCAAATGATAAAGGGCTTTCAAGAAAACATATAATTGAAGGAACAAAAGCTTCATTGAAGAGACTTGATATGGATTATGTAGATCTGATCTATTGTCATAGGCCTGATACAAGTACACCTATTGAAGAAACTGTTAGGGCTATGAACTATGTGATTGATAAAGGGTGGGCTTTTTATTGGGGTACAAGTGAATGGTCAGCTCAGCAGATTACTGAAGCATGGGGGGTTGCTCAAAGATTGGATCTTGTTGGTCCTATTGTTGAGCAGCCTGAGTATAACTTGTTGTCTAGGCATAAGGTAATTTTTTGGACTCTGGTTCTTGGTTTGGATTGCTTCTAGTTTATATTATGGTTTATTGTTGTTTATGTTTTAGTATGATGATATGAAATGAGATTAGAATGAAGAAATGGGATTCATACAGCCTGGGGCTGAGGCATAACTATAGTTTATATTATGGTTTATTGTTGTTTATGTTTTAGTATGATGATATGAAATGAGATTAGAATGAAGAAATGGGATTCATACAGCCTGGGGATGAGGCATAACTATTGTTGTTGTGTTATGGTTTGTTGTAGTTTTTAAGTATGATGATGATGATATGAAATGAGCTTAAATGAAGAAGACGGATTCATATAGTTGATCTCAACTTATTTGGGGATGAGGCATAATTGTTGTTGTTGTGTTCTGGTTTGTTGTTTTTGAGTATGATGATGATATGAAATGAGCTTAAATGAAGAGATGGGATTCATATAGCTGATCTCAACTTATTTGAGACTGAGGCATAGCTGTTGTGTTATGGTTTCTTGTTGTTTTTAGTATGACGATGATATGAAATGAGCTTAAATGAAGAAGTGGCGTTCAGATAGCCAATCCCAACTTATGTGGGGTGGAAGCATAGTTGTTGTTGTTGTGTTATGGTTTGTTGTTGTTCTTTAGTATGATGATGATATGAAATAAGTTAAAAATGAAGAACTTAGATTCATACAGCTGATCCCAACTTGTTTGGGGATGATGCATAATTGTTGTTGTTGTGTTATGGTTTGTTGTTTTTTAGAATGATGATATAAGATGAGCTTAAATGAAGAGATGGGATTCATACAGGCGACCCCAACTTGTTTGGGAATCACCACGCTTGTTGATTAATGTAAAAGCGATTTGTCAACAGTTCCCAATATAGTACCTTCGTGTATTGTGCTGGTTTTGAGAACCGAAATTTGACTTGATGCCTTAGTTGAGCAAATGCTGTGACAGTAGCTTTTGTTTTCTTAATATGGTTAGTATGGATTCCTTAATTCCAAGAGTAGTAGAATATTCAGATGTTCAACTAGATAGAAGATTAATCTTTCATTTCATATAAATTGCTGAATGAATGTACAGGCTAGATCTGGGACATATTAGAAATCAAATAGCCAGACAAGTGAAATGAAAAAAAGTGGAGGTAGTGGGATGTTTGAGGTAAAAGTTAAAACAAGAATATTTCCTGGCATCCTCTAGGGTCTCTTTACGGTTAAACCTTTCAGTGCAAAACTGCATTCTTTTACAGCTGTACATACAAGTTACTGTTGTGAAAACTTCAGTGGAGAATTTTCAGGGTGTTGCAAGTCTAATATTGCTATTCGTATGTGGCAAAAATCCATCGCCTTTCATCGAACATGTTGTTAACTGTAGAAATTTCTTTGAAGGTGTTCTCCAACTCTGAGTATGGTGTAGGACAGTAGGAGGTCCAATGTTGTCCATTTTTTCTTCTTCCTCGTGATCTGTTATTGATTTAGGCTGTTTTCGTTGAGTGATTCAACATGGCTGGCTGCTAGAATTTGGCTGATTGCCATTTTATTTGCTGACATGAATTCATTACCTGAACTTGTCAGATTTTAGTGCAATTGGCCTCCGCTTGTAGCTCCAGTGTCATTATCTATCTTTGCAACTTGTCATGTTTCTTTCTCTAACAATACATGGACCTCACTGAATGGTTGCAGGTCGAATCTGAGTACCTCCCTCTGTATAGCAACTATGGAATTGGTCTTACCACATGGAGTCCTCTCGCTTCAGGCGTTCTGACTGGAAAATATACCTCAGGGAACATTCCACCAGACAGCCGATTTTCACTGGAAAATTACAAGGTAGAACCCTCAAAGTTTTACAAGAAAATCCCATTTGTTTGAAACTGTACTTGTCCACTCCTAGCTTTTAAAGCAATGCTGCTCTTATATTTATGTGTGATCTTTGTTAATTCTTAGTTCACAGCTTCCTAATTTTTAATTTTTTAAATTGGTAATGTTACAGCTTCCTAAATAATTATATGGTAAATTTCTTTGAGCAGCTCATTGAGTAGTCAGCTGGTAAAAGTTTCTCTAAATTTAAGAACATTCGGTGATCTTCAAGCAATTAGTTCTTGTGATTTTTAACCAATATCTTTGTTCATTGAAACCAGATGGTTTATGTCTGCCAAAATGAACTTTTCCCTTCCCTTGGACAAGCAGATAGTTCTTTCTTCTTGGTGTTTGTGAGCGGATGTCCTAGACCTGTTTCTTAATAATTCTAGTCTAGAACATCAAAAGAAATTTAACATCTTCTCATGTGCTTAAACCTAGAACTATGAGACAAAAGTCACCTGAGCCTTTAGATAACGAGAAATGGAAGTGCTATTAGCAGGTGGCTTCAGAATTCTTTTATTGTTCCTTATGAGTTGTGCTCATATGTTAGAAAAGGCTCAAGTTTTTTTGAGTTGCTTCCAAATTGAGGAACCAAATGTCCAATAGTCGAAAGTGAAAGTTTTCCATGTAAGTATACGATTAGATATATGTGTGGGCATATCCAAAGTTCACGCGTCAATGTGTACGCATATGCATACTTTGTTCACTCTTAATCTTACTCCTATTGAAGAAACTTGACTAGTTATCTTATGTATCGCAGAATCTCGCCAGCAGATCTTTGGTGGATGATGTGCTGAGGAAAGTAAATGGATTGAAACCAATTGCTGAGGAACTAGGTGTACCTCTCCCTCAACTGGCAATTGCCTGGTGTGCTGCAAATCCTAATGTCTCATCTGTTATTACTGGTGCCACCAAAGAGTATCAGGTCCGTTAGTTTTTCCCTTATTCTTTTATTCATTTCATGAGCTTTCCCTTTCAGACGATGATTCTTTTCTTCAGTGTTAGCTCTCACTTCAATAACTGATATCAATCTCGATTGGTTGAGATTTCAGTTTTGCCTGTATTATTTCTGTTTTAAAGCATGCATTCATGGAGTTTCTCGTTCTTTTTAGATAAACCACCCCAATCCAAAGTTAAAAAGTACTAAAAGGAAGAGTCCTCTTGCTTTGCTTTCGAAATAAGTACTCATTTGATTTTGTTTCTACTTTGAATCTCTTTTGATTTAACTTATTTCTATAGACATCTGGGCAAAAAAAGAGATTATAACAATCTTATTTTTGCATTGTTTTCACTTTCTCCTAATATTTTTACTGAACAGAATCTTTACTTTTTGCATTTCATTTATATGACTATGTTCAAATAGGCACAAAGTTTAAGAAAGAAATAAGACTTTAGGCATGTACCATAAGTACCATATGAACTGTGTCATTCTTTTCGGAAAGAGACTTGAAAGGAAAGAGTGTCATAGAAAATGAAAAAGAAAGTAATATTAGTCTATGTTGCTCGGATTCTTCAAAAATACCCCTAGGTGTATTTTATATCCACCAAAAGTGCAATGCATATGGTTCGACAACATTTTTGAGGGTGCGAGCAAATTTTACGTGGTGTATCTCATGTTTGATCTACATTAATGCAGATTCAAGAGAACATGAAAGCTATCAATGTTATTCCAATGTTAACACCTGCTGTGATGGAGAAGATTGAAGCTATTGTTCAAAGCAAACCGAAGCGCCAAGATTCATATAGGTAGACAAATTTGTGAGATCCATTAGTAGTTCAAAAGAGCAGTGTTGTTCAAGACTGAGTTTTTCATCATTTATGTATTTGCATTCCCTTTTGCTTTGTCATATTTGAAGACTATGAGAGTTGGTGTTGTTTCTGAACCAAACATTTAATGATGGTGAATTTTCTACTTTTCTTTTAGTGGATGAATGATTATATTGGCTTTTGAAGTTGCTTGTGAGCAGTAACTTTTAACTATATTTTTCATATACTTCATGTTTTATCAACTGATGTTATAATGTAATACATGTATAGGCATTCAAATTTGGTCTCTTGACAGGTAAGTACATACTTCAATTTGTCATTGTGTCAGTTGAAAACTCCAACTTACGAAATGATTAGACACCTCCAAAAGTTATGTTACATGACTAACAATGGGTCTCCACGAGACACAATGGAGATGAGTTAAGACGGTTTAGTTGCCAGTGGAGATTAAGTTGAATTTATAATTTGTGACCCTTTAATGTAAAAAAGTGGTGTGGATTCTTTAAAGGATATGAATATCATTACGGATGGACTCAAGAAAATTGGGGCAAAAACTTTTGATTAGTCATATTCTCAAAAATTTAAGGACTAAAAATATACACGAAGAATTGAAAAAAAATCATGAATACCTGTTTTGTAACCCGTAAAAGCTAAAAAAAAAAGTGGTATGAATTTGTAGAAGTAATGGGTATCGTCCATTAGGTCATTACAAATGATTCCACAAAAATTTGAGTAAAAAAGATTCAATCAGTCATATTTTCAAAAATTCATGAACTAATACACATGAAAAATAAAGAAATCTTGAATTCCTATTTCGTGACCCCTAAACGCTAAAAAAGTGACATGAATCCTATATGAATGGTCCCAAAAAATTTGGAAGCAAAAAAATCTAGTCAGTAATATTTACCAAAAAATCATGGATATTTACACATGAAAAAAAATGAGAAATTCTTAATTCCTAATTCGTGATCCATTAACGCTAAAAAAAGTGCCATAAATCCTGTGGAGGCTATGAATATCATTTACTAGATCATTGCGGATGATTCCACAAAGTTTTGGGTCGAAAAGATCTAATCGGTCATATTTCCAAAACTCATAGACTAATACACATGAAAAAAATTGCAAAAATCCTGAATGAATGCCTAAAGCATCACTTGAATTCACATCAAATAATAAAGTCCAAACATTCTTGGCAAAACTCTATGAGTAAAATCCTATTGAAAAGAGGATGTATAATGCCTACACCAAATAAGTCTTTAGTTTTTAGGTTGAAGACTTAGGTGAGGTGTGAGGTAGGCAAAGTAAACAATATTTACACCAAATCAATAAACAAAACGAAAGATGTGTGTATCTTCGAACTCACATTTATTATTTAACCATAATTAAATATCGTAAATATAGGCAACTTGACAGATTTCTTGTATTTTCATGGCACTAAATCCATGTCAAGAATGTGTATATTATTTGGAAAAACATATAGAACAGAACTAATTTTCACAAAGAATATAGGTCAAGTCTCATGGACAACAACAATAACATAACCAGTGAAATCCACAAGTGGGGTCGGGGAGGGTAGAGTTTACGCAGACCTTACCACTACCTCGTGGAGGTAGAGAGGTTGTTTCTGAAAGACTCTAACTTTACGACTCATGGACAAGAAACTCAATCATAAAAATTGTCCAAGAAAAATTCATCATTTCATGCCTCTTTGAACTTGCAATCCAACAGGTAGTAGCAGGTACTGATTTTCAACAATACCACTCTCCATTAGGAGGGGAACAGAAAAACAGAAATCACCATTGAGGCAGCTAATTAAGTTTGAATTGGTCTAAGAGCTGAACGATGAATAAGGTTATTATCTGCATACTGAGTTTACAAGATGTAAAAAGACTAGAGTTGATAACTATGTTGCTCGGACTTTCAAAAATGTCAACGGGTGCGTGCCGGATTCTCCAAATATAGTATTTTTAGAGAATCCGACACGGGTACGGCATCGAAAGTGAAGAGTCCGTGCAACTTACACATAGTCTACGTTGGTACCAATGACAGAATTTGGCTTCTGATGATTCCCATACACTTCTGTATTTCACGGTAGATTGGAGCGTTCTGCAGGCAACTTGGTTGCAAGCTTGCTACAGCGGAATCAAGCACTTTTGCCACATCAGCGGGTGGAAACTGTCGTTCTGTACACTTCTGCAATAATATACAATAAATCAACAAGTAATGTCAAAACATAAAGATGGAAAATCGGGAGGTATTGTTGGGAATCGCAGAATGCCTACCGAAATATTCACATTTAAGATAATGGGGATATAAGGGCACCAATAATTTAAGTGGAAGATCTAAACTAGGGGGAAAACCACGTCCCAAGAAGAGCAAAACAATCACTACAGTGAGAGTAGATGCATTCTACACTCGAGTATCACAAAGTTCTTGATGCTAATACAATCAAAAGAAATGCCCTCTTTTGAACTTTCCTCACTATAAAACCACTCAACTCTATGTTTCCCGCAGATGTATTTCTCTCGTTGAATTAGGGTGATAGCAAACGAAGAGGAAGTCCCCATTTGCAGGGTTGCAAGCTTATCTATGTCCAATTATAGTTGAATATCTTGATTTTTTTGGTAGTTCTACTTACCGTTGAAGGGGTCTCTTGGTTCTAAAAGATCTATTTTTCCATTTGAAGCAAAATCAAAGGAAGGTTCCAAGACATTACAGCTCTTCTTCAGCTAATCTTTTAGCCATATTTTCACTCTTTCAGCCAAAACACATTCCCCACGACCTCACCTGGAAAATGCTCGAGTGGACACACTGTTTTCCATCCTTCAACCATGGATTAACCTTCCTATCTAAACCCTTTCTTCAACCACCGCACCTGAACACTTGATCATCACCAGGCAAACAGATCCACCAGAAAATCAACAGAACTCTTCCGATAGATAAAAGTTTTGTCGGTTGAGTCAAAACTCCAGTAAGATCAGGGTTTTGGGTGCTCCAATCTGACCAAAACGAGTCCAGACAGCAAGGCTGTCCGGTCAAAGGTTCACGGTTTTTGTTTTGGGCTCTCTGGTCTCAGTATGCCATGCATTTATGTTTATGAATGTGGTGAATTGCAATCTGAAGTTCAAGAATCTGTTCAGCTCTTGTTTCCATAACCAGCCTTGTGATAGTGGTATTGTGGTGGTTGGAATTGATAAACACAAACTGAAGGGAAGAGGAGAAGAAAGAAGGGCTTTTCTTCTTTTGTAATTTTACACTTGTCACTCAGTTATTGGTTTCTTTTCCATGTCACAATGCACCTCATTGTGCAATAGTTACATTTTGATAGGTGTCTAATAAGTTACGAGATCAATTGAGGTGCCAAAATGAAAATTGGTGCCAGCTTCAAGGGGTTGTTTATGTATTTAGCCAAGTTCTTTTAACTGGAGATCATGATTATGTAATACACAGCCAGAGACTATAGATTCTTTTTCCCCTCATCTTCCAAGGCAATCTAGCAATCACTGTTGGGGTAAAACTTGGTGAGGAAAGAAGGCTTGCACTTCTTCTCATAATATGTTGTATGGGTCTCTCCTTTTCCCTCTATTTATCAGTGATCCAAAAACACAATTCACAATACATTGTCTACTTAGCTTGTATAACCAAAAATTTTGGGAAGAACGGGGAGCACCTTTTGGATGTTATGGAACATTTTATGTCATGCAAAAAAGAGGCACTCAACACGAAAATCCAAAGTTCAGTAAAGGACAGAAAGTGATAGGTAATCCAAGCAAGGTAATTTCCATCTCGGACATTCTAAAGCAATAATCATTTCACAATAACCAGTCCAGAAAAAACATAAAAGCTTGGAAAATGTACCGGAATCATGGAATAAAGGAACTAGTCAACATAAGACAGGAAAAAACTGATGCTATAAACTGTATTTACCTGAATCATAAGTAAAGTAGCAACGCATTTTGAGATAAGTTCGGAAGGAATTTCTGCTTCATTTGTATCTGACATATTCTTTGACTTAGGATCAGGTGGCTGCAGGAGATCAATGCACTTTAAATCAATTTATATGTAGAAGCAAATGTAGCCACTAAGCGAGCATGAATTAGTAAAAGATCTCACAGTGGGCATGCAAGAGTCATCGAGCGGAATCCGATCATTCACATAATCAATAGCCGCCTCAATCTTCTCAGTGGTGTTCTCTCTACGACTAAATGAATTCATCGCCTACACAGATAAGTTAATCAAAATCTAAACAATCTACAACAACACACAGAAGAAATTGATGAGGTGTCAAGGTCACAAAAACGACAGAAGAAACATAAAAATATTAGGATGCTATAAATAAACATAATATTTTCCATATGGTGGTACTGAATTAATAAAATCAAGTCTAAACAGATTAAAAGAAGTCTAATATTATCAAATTTGGTTAAGAACCCTAAAGGTTTTAAATAAGCTAAATTTAAATAGTTCTCAAAAGAATGTCTCAATAAAAGTACTGGTATAATCTTCTCTCTAAACTTTAATCCTGACGTATTTTTTCAAGTTATTTTGATCTGGTTATATACATGAAAATGATACAAAATTTATGCAAAATCACTTCTTGTTTTGATAACCGTGGTGTCCAGGCGAGCTTGCGCGCACCTCAACTAATTTCACGGGATATGTGTCAACTCCCACCACCAACAGGTACTAGGTAACTCTGTCCACCAAGGTTTGGACAGATGGGAAGAAATCACCTAGTACTAGGCCACACCTTGGGTGCAAATCACATATTATTTCTAAATGGAGTCGAAGGGACTAAATGTTTCAAAAAGCCCCTGACAAAAGAATTATTTTATTAAAAAATGATTAAGACATCACCAACTGATCTAGCTAAATTAAAATGAAAAGGTATCCCACAACTCTGGCGATCAGAACAAAATGTCATTCATAGAACTTTCAAAATTAGATGGAAAAGATAAGTAATAGAAGTCCGGAGACATTGCAATACAAAAAACTACATTGAGTAAGCAATACTATTGACATGAAAGGGAAATAAATTAAATGGGTAGACCAAAACCCTAGAGAGGAAATAGGTAAAACCCAGTAAATAGTAACTTACGCAAAAGTCTCTCCTCTCAGATTAAAGAGGGACAAAAGCATACAACCATGAATTT